GAGAAAGCCTAGTAATGACAAGGCCCGTGGTCTCACAGTGACAGGAGTGAGGTCATCGCTGAAGTCTGCATCATCCAAGCCCATGAAGGCTTTTGCCTCGACCTCTCTGCAGAAGCAGCACTGTGAGAAACATTGGAAAGCATATCTCTGTGACCACTGTCCGTTAGAGCTGAACCTGTGTTTGGGAGCGTTTGGAGTTCTTTCTTCCAAAAGACGATGTTTTCAAGACTCCCTGCCCACAGCAGAGCTGAGTGTTTGTCTTTATTCCTTCACTTGGGACTGGGTGGGTCAACTTTCCACTTGGCCTTGCCAAGAGCCACACAGTCATAGCTCCAAAACATGTCCCACAAACATAGGGATGCTGTCGTCAATAGGAGCCCTGCAAACTGCATCCTGGCTGACTGGACTGCCTGTTCCATCCCAGGACCAACTGACTGTCTTCATTAGGAAGAGACCACCCACCAATCACTGGCTTCTGATTTTAATTACAGGAAAATCAAGGAGACCCAGAAGTGGCTCTTTGACTTGGAAGTGGCCTCCAGTGCTAGCTGTGACATAGTGTACTCTCTCCTCCCCTGGATCCCTCCATCACTGGCCATGTTGCTCACTGGCTGGGGATGAGACAACAGAGAAGCACTGATATTGGCATGGCCATTTCAACCTTAGATGTCCTCATCATAGGACACTTTAGATGTCCTCATCATAGGACACCTTAGATGTCCTCATCATAGGACACCTTAGATGTTCTCATCATAGGACAGGAGCACAGAGAACATGAGGGAACATTGTTTTGTGTTCCAGCCAAGTTACACAGGGCCAGAGCAAATAGTGACTTCCTGTTTCTTATGGTCTTCCCAGGACTTTCCCATAACCCCTTGGGGCAGAGGAAAGAACATTTCCTTGGCCACCAAGATCATTTTTTGTGTATGCCCATCTGAACAGACAAGAGGAAAGCTAAATATTCTTCCTCCAGAATGGCTAAAAATGACCAAAGCCCTGAAAACCCAAGGTCATGGACAGAGAACACATAATGCCATCACCCATTTGCTCGAGATGTAATAAAATGCCCAAATCTAGGTAATTTACAAACAATATAATCTTACTTGGCTCATGGTTCTAGAGGCTGAGAAGTCCATCTGTTATATGCTCCCATGCTGGAAGCAGAGGTCTCATGAACAGGGTACAAAGGGTAGTAGATACAGAATTCTAATAAGCCCCATGCTAGTTAAGTAGCCCCTGTCTTTGAGAAGAGCCTTAGTCCATTGCTGAGGACATAGCTTTTGTGACTTCACCTCCCTCTTCGTAAGTACAGGGGTAATTACAGTTTGGTATGGTGCTTAGAAGGGACCACAAAATACACTGGAAGTTAAGCTGAGAGAGTTTTCTTCCTGTGAGCAGAATGAACACTACAATGAGCTCTAGGCCTCTGCCCTACACTAGTGACACTTCTCACCATGGCAACCAAATACCTGATAGCCTACAGTGCTGTGTGTGCCTTCAGTGACTCCATGGGAAGAAAGCTCATTGTAGCTCACGGTTTTGGAGTACTTCAATCTATCCATCATGGCAGGACAATCACAGTAAAAAACAGCTGCTCAGCCAAGCAGCAGGAGCCTGTGGGAAAGTACCTTGTAAAGCAAACCAACCAGAAAGTAAATAAGGAACAGGATATTGGGCTGAACCATAACCCTCAAGGGTCTACATCCAGTGTGAAATTGCGGCAGCTATGCCCCGCCTCCTTAGGGCTCCACAACCACTTAAACAGTGCCACCTACTGAAAAACAGGTGTTCGAACATGTAGACCTGTGGAGGACATTGCCCATTCAAAATTGTACATTCAAATCAACACACATATGTGTATACACACACACACATACCTCTGTACTCTCCACATTCCTCAAGTCTAAAATAGGATGCAGCTGCTGCAAGCTTGACCAGTAGGATTGAGTCCCACTTCAGAACCCCCGAAGCATGATGTTTCTGCTGTTATACCCCTCGTTTGATATGTCTCCTCTATGAAGACAGAAAAATCTCTCTGGTTCCCCATTTGATCCAGCACAGCCATTGTGCCTGATATATACAGGAAGAATCTGCTTGAGAAGATAACTGGTATCTGCTCAGCCAGCCCCAGGCTCTATCACTCTGCAGCATTGTTGATAGCAATAAGGTCCAAAGAGGTCTGGACCTCATCTAAGACACTGTGGGGGTGGAAGAGGTCTTGGGGAGCATACAAAGGACTCCCTAGATGCCCTTAATATTGGAGCAACTTATTCTGCTAAAGGAGCCACAGAAACATGGGGAAAGGGTTTGGAGGCATTGGGGTAAGATATTTGAGTAAGTTGTGTGTGTGTGTGTGTGTGTGTGAGCACAATTCCCAAAATATACAGATGCCTCCAGGGCATCTGGAACAGGAGTAAGGGGTAAAGGCATGCGGTGGCATCTATATGTATTATGTAGGTTTCTTAGCATACTTGTGTTCTGATGTTTGTATACAAGGACAGCCTTAAGACACATGCACATCAAGATGAAAGCATCAGCTCTCCATGGTTGGGGAGATAGCTCAGTCAGTCAAGTCCCTACGTAAGCATGAGGACCCAACATCCACATTAAAAAAAAAGTGAGGATTACATGCCTGGAATCCCAGTGCTGGAAAGGCAGAGACAATTCCTGGAGATCAATGACCAGCCAGTCTAGCTGAAGTCTAGCTGAATTGGTGAGCTCCAGGTCAATGAGAGACCCTGCCTCAAAAAATAAAGTGGAGAGTGTCTGGAAAAGAGAATTAATCTTGACTTCTAGTCTCCACAGGCACATAAAATTATACACGCACATAAATAGACACACACCCATGTGTGCAGGTACACACACACACACACACACACACACACACGATGGCTCTCTATTCTAGAGGAGAAACAGTCCTTAAAGACACAGAAACCATCTCATGCTCAGGACATAGGGTATCCCTGTACCCACAGAGGGGATATAATATCCCATGTGTGCCAGGATAGTCCTTGGGCTCCCCAAAGTGTGTCCATTCTCAGCTTTGTCTTCCCAGGAAATGGTATGGAGCACTTACTCCGTTCAGGGGGAGTAGAGAGAGCTCCCTGTCTGCCAGCATGTCATTTTACAGTGATTTCTGAGCCACCTTGGAGCTTCATCTCAATCATAAAAGAAGCTCTGCTCAGGGCCCTGCATGATATCCTTGAAGGACAGGATCAGGCTTCCAATGACACATGTGTCTCAGCTCAAACACACAGAGGACTTTGCTTCCCAGCAATGTGAGATCAAATGCTGCAGGGCACTTGTTTGGAGCCTTGGTTTGATTTTCTCTGTATCCTGGATTTAAGGTCAGTGTTGGATACACCCAGAATTCCTGGGGCATTTCAAACAGACTTGCAGACCTTGGCCAGGTGATGCACTTGCCAGGAACCACACAGACCCCTCACCAGGAAGGCCAGAGCGTACAGACTCTACATGCAGGAGAAAGGCACTGTTCAGTGATCCACCCCCAACACACAGCATTCTTCCCAGAGTGCTGCGTGCCCCAGGTCTAAGGACAACTGTCCAACATTTTTTAGGGAATATACTGCTGCCTACAAAACAGGAAGGGGCTGCTAATGATCCCTACACATGGCTCTGAACACCAAGAAATACATAGACAAAATGTGGGGACTGGCAGTGATGGCAGATATTGCCCAGGGTAAAGCCACCTGTTTACAAACAGGGAACAGGCGCCAAGTCTGGGGAGGGATTCTCCCACAAACATGGGGCCAGGTATTCATCCATCCCTGTGGCTACTTCAGTCCTGCCTGCATCCAGGACACTATGCTCTGTTTCTGTCACTGAGGTCACCACATGGACAGCTCAGCCAAGTCCCTGGAAACTGGAGGCTTTGGTACCAGACAGATCCAGACATGGGTCTAGAGTCATGGCGCCACTACCCAGTGTCATACTCTACAGAGACCCTCTTCTTGTCTAGGGAATAAGGTTACCCATACACTACACTGCTTTACTATAAATCTTGGCACCTGCAGCTGCAGTTACCCTGATGAATGCTGGTATCTAAGCAACATTCCGGATCCTGCGAGTACCAACCTCACCCCTTGGAACACTTTCCCTCCCATGGCAAGGTCAGGCTTTAGCAGAGGGCATAACATTAGCTCAGAAGTCTTGGTGACTCCTAGTGTGGCAATGCTCGTGGCACAAGTTCTGTCGGCCCATGCAGCATCCTGACTATTCTGCACTGTGGCCTGAGCTGGGGACACTTGGCATCTCAATGCACTTGGTAGGAAAGTGAAGAATTAAGAAATTGATCCAAGGCTGTAGCTAGAAAGGGAATGGAGTCAGTCTGCCTCTCAGCATCCAAGTGTGGTGCTTTCCTCTTCAATACTGTTTCAGACCTGAAAAGAAACAAGATTTTCCTTCTTTGTCCTCTGGAGCCCATAGTGGGGACTCAGTGGTGGTTACACAGCTGAGATACAGAGGTTCAGAGGAAGCCTTTCCTTTAGACCCAGAGCTGCATCCAACAGTCTCCATCCAGCTGCTCTATGGATGACAATATGTAGTCTGGTGGACCCCAGCCCTACATATTGTCCTGCCCAGCAGACTGGGAGGATTAGGGGCACCCTAGTCCCCCTTTACCCAGAATTCTGCTCCAGGAGATGAGCCAGTCTTAGGAAGCAGTCCCCTCCTTGACCCAGGGCAACACTGCCCCTTCCTGGCCTCTGATCCACTCTCTCATTCTTCCATCTTTCCCTGCTTCCTCTCTGACCCTCTCAACTGCTCTTGACAGAAATTCCTGGTAAAAAGTGAATGCCTGCTTCCTTTCTAGGTACCTTCAGGCCCCCTTCCTTCTGAAAGAATCCAGTGTCCCAGACCCTATGGGTGTGTCACATCCTCTGTCCAACCCTCCTTGGATGCCTGGCCCTGGCAGGGTCCCCACAGGAAAAAGGTGGGGAGGCTGAGCCTTCGATATCCCCCCAGCAGCTATTTAAAGGGGCAGCTGGCCCAGCAGTAGGCAGCAGGCACCATGGCACCAAAGACACTGCTTCTGTTGCTGCTGCTGTTTCTGGTGGTGGTCTGGCCTCCTGCAGTACAGCCTGCGCCCCCCACCTGCTACTCCCGGATGCTGACCCTGAGTCGTGAAATCATGGCAGACTTCCAGAGCCTGGAGGCTTCAGAGCCTGAGGTAAGTTCGTCACTTGCCTTTTGCCTTGGGAAGATAGATAGATAGATGATAGATAGATAGATAGATAGATAGATAGATAGATAGATAGATAGATGATAATTTTTTAAAATAACAGCTCACTACAGAGACTAGGAATTTAGAATTTCACAGAACTAATGAATTAAGCTTCTTCAGTTCTGTCGTTAACCTGATGACCAGCAATGTATGCCAAGGGGGTGATACACTCCTTATCTGCTGAGGGACTGTGGGACAGTTACTCAGCCCTCTGTCTCAGCTTCCTTCTCTGTAAAGAAGGGGGATAACCATATCTCCCTGGATGTGATGGGGCTGAAAGATACATTGACCACAGGAAACCAGACAAGTGTTAAAGCTATTAGCCCTATCCTCAGAGGAAGACCTCAGGAACTCAGGGGAGTCTCCTGAGGAGTGCTGCAAGGGGAGAGAGTTGAGGTCCTCTACATGCTTATCTCTAATAGAAGCAAACCCCACTGGACTCCACGAAGAGCCTGAGTAAACTGCAAAGGTGTCACTCGGCTGCTTGCACACGCTTCAAACAGACCCCAACATTCCTCTGGTATTGGGGCTCACATTATCTTAACACCTTGAATTTTCTTCTCAAAAGTTAGATTGCATTCATTATTATCTCGTGATAAACAGGATAAACTGTAGAACAATAGGAAAATGCACAAAAGACCATGAAAAAAATATTATTTGTGAGCCTGCCACCTAGAGGCAACTGCTGCTATAGCACTTGGATGGCAGCAACCACTCTGTGCAAGTTCCTGTGGTGGTCACTGTGTTGGCCGTGGAGGTGGTAGTGGCATCAGTGGTGAAATATGGACCACATAGCACTGATAGCTTGGCATACTGCTTATCAACCCCACCATCCAGTAAACTTACGTTCTTTTGTGTAACACTTTAGACAGCTGTACCCTTATTCCTTGCCATGAAACAGACACAGTGCTGGCCTTAGGGTCATACGGTGCTAGAGAGTAAGATCAGAGGCTAAGAGCCACAGAGTGGGACCAAGTGGAAGACAAAGCACTCAGCCTTCTAATTCACAGATGAGGAACTGAGTCATAAAGAAGGAAGACAGCAGCCCCAGGTCACACAGAGTTACACAGAGGGAAGGGCACTAGATGTGCAGACCTTTGGTCACACACACACACACGCACACACACACACACACCTCTTTATAGCGATGTGTTATATCTTACAAACTTTGTTGTGTCTATGTTATAGCCTAAAGCTCTTATGTGAGTAAATATATAAAATATATTTATGTATATAATTTTCATATGGAAAACTGCTATAAAACCAGCTTTCGTATAGGTGAATACCTTATATCTACAGTACTATATAATGCCCTACATATGTTTGTACATGCCTGTACATGTGTGTTTGTATAAAATGGTGTCCTAATTCACGGTACTGTAAAGGCTATGCTCTGTCTTAAGATTCTGAGAGAGAAGGTGTCACAATGCAAGATGTTCTGTGGGTGTCATGGAATCAGGAAAAATTAAAGCTCTGGGACCATTGTCTGGGGGCAGCTGTTAGGGTGCAGACTGTGACTAAGCTGTCCCTATAGGTGTCCCATTCACTTGCTTTCTTCCTGCAGGATTCATGTGTGAGGTACTTGCCCCGGCTTTACCTGGATATCCATGTAAGAGAGTGTTGCCTGGTGGGGTGGGTAAGGTGGGGATGAAGTGGGGTGGATGTGAACTACCTCTGCTGGCTGGCCTGATGGGGCAGCCAGTGTTGGGAATATGCCTTATGCTATGTTGGAGAAGTCATAAGCTCAGTCCCTGGCCCTCTGGCTCCCCTTCTCCCATAGCCCTCTCTTGTTCCCACTCTCAGAATTACTGTGTGCTGGCCAAGCTGCGAGACTTCGTGGCCTCTCCTCAGTGCTGGAAAATGACTGAAGTGGACACTCTGAAGGACAGAGTGCGGAAGCTGTATACCATCATGAACTCCTTCTGCAGGCGGGTAAGTAAGGCACTTGAAGAGCCCTTTTCTGCTCTGAGCTTCACAGAGGGAGGGTTGGAAGGAGGGCAGAGGGAGGGACTTCCAGTCCAAGCAGGCTTTCTACAATAGTCACCCTTGTTAAGTGAGCAGGACTCAGATCGGGCTCCCTCAACCTCCCACAGCTGCATATGGAGGCCACGTGGGTGGCTCACTCCCAGACCACTCCATAGATACTCAAGGAAAAGTGCAAGAGCCAGAGGAAGCCAGAGGACACTTTCTGAAGGAGGAACATCTAGGTGTGCGTGTCATCAGAGGATCTGGTAGTTGGGAGGCAAGCACAGAGAGCTAACACTCCGATCCCACGATCCAGCCCCAGATAGTGTTGAGTTGTGCCCTCTTTTTTTCCTTCCCTGTGGGAGCACTCCTTCACACGTCACAGGTGATCTGGGGACTTAAATGTCCATCTGGTAACATTAGGAGGACGGTCCTAATAGTTACACCATTACAATGTGACAACATCATACTTTAACTCTCTCCCTAAGACACCTAGCAAGGTACCTAAATGTATAATTCTAAGTTCCTAAAAAAATATACTGGTGTGCCTATGTGTGTGTGTGTGTGTGTGTGTGTGTGTGTGTGTGTGTGTGTGTGTGAGAGAGAGAGAGAGAGAGAGAGAGAGAGAGAGAGAGAGAGAGAGAGAGAGGTGGGGGGTAGGGGGCAGACAGACAGACAGACAGACAGACTATTGTGTGGTATATATACACAAGTGGAATCCAGCAGAAGGACATCAAGTGTCTTGCTCTGACACTCTCTGCCTGTTTCCTTGAGCTAAGCTGGCAGACAGTAAATCCCAAATATCCCCCTGTCTTTGCACTACCCAGTACTGGTATTAAACATGCACCGCCTCTTACATGGGTCCTGGGAATTAAACTCAGGTCTTCAAGCTTGTGCAGAACATGGTTTTGCCTCCTGAGTTATCTCCTCAGTCTCCCCCTTGCATATAGATGCGTGTTTGACTATGAGGAGAAGTATGTGGGGGGCACCTGTGTGTTTACATGAAGGCACTAGCCTGACCAGAGTGAGGCCTTCCCTTCCAGAATTCTCAGCTTGCTGATGCTTTCTCCTATGGCAGCCTTCTTTGTTCCTGAACTCCCTTGGTTTGTTGTGAAGAAGGGAACTGGTTTTTTTTTATTATTATTAACTTTTTATTGGATATTTTATTTACATTTCAGATGTTGTTCCCTTTCCCCATTCCCCCACCCAGAAACACCCTATCCCATCCCCCTCCTCCTGTTTCTATGAGGATGTGCCCCCACTCACCCACTCCCACCTCCCCGCCCTCGAATTCCCCCACGCTGGGGCATACAGCCTTCACAGGACCAAGGACTCCCTCTACCCACCTATGCCCAACAAGGCCATCCTCCCCTACATATACAGATGGAGCCATGGGCCCCTTCCTATGTGCTCCCAGGCTGGTGGTTTAGACCCTGGGAGCTCTGGTTGGTTGGTATGTTGCTCTTCCCATGAGGCTGCAAATCCCTTCAGTTCCTTCAGTCTTCACTCTAACTCCTCTATTGGGAACCCCATGATCAGTTCAATGGTTAGCTGTGAGCATCTGCCTCTGTATATGTCAGGCACTGGCAAACTTCTAAAGAAGAAGGGAAGTTGAAATTAGCAGAGCGCCTTCTGATGCACAGTGTGCACTGGCTGGAGGTGGGAACCGGTGCCGTTCTGTAGTGGCTGCACCCATTCACTTTATGCAACCAATCAGTCATCTGTCCATCTGGTCAACCAAAGCCTAGTAAATGCCAATGAGAATATGAAGAAAGAAAGTGCCCACTCTCCTAGGGGACAGAAGTGTATTTCTACACCCCAGGGATGCTCAGACAGTCTTGGGAGGTGACAGCAGACCTAGCATTGCCTACATGCTCCAGAGACACTGACAGCATCATGTCTGCTCACTGCTTGTCTTTTCCAGGACTTGGTATTCCTCTCAGATGACTGCAGTGCCTTAGAATACCCAATCCCTGAGGCCACAGGTCCTCCAGACTGGCAGAGTTAAGACAGCAAGTGGACCAGAAGAACAACCCAGAGGCCTGAAGCTGTCCAAAGCAGAGCCACGGCCCACCAGGTCTCCTTTTAGTGCAGCTGTTAGACCTGCCATGTGTCTCTTTACCTTCAGATAGACGAGTGAGGATCATGCCTCTGAGCATGCTTTGTGCACAGTTTGTGTTTCCTAGGTGCCTCATCGTAGTATAAGAGGCACAACAGGAAAGTACACACTGGCTTCTCTTTGGGGAGCAAGCAGCTTGGGAACAGCAAAGTCCCATGCCTTTGTGACTGCTTTAATGAAATAATGGGACCATTCTTCTTTCTGGTCTCCGCTTACTCCCAAAGGGGCTTCAACTTTATGCTTCCTTCCTGTGCAAGCTCTCCTTCCTCTCTCTCATTTTAATGTGTTTTTACTGCTTTTGCGATGTAGTTACCAGGCTTTTATGTAGTGTGAACGAGCCACCCTTTCGCTGAAGGGTGATGAAAACCAAATAAACCTCTATTGTGAGAAGGAGGGGTGCTGCTGTATTGCTCCACAGTGGCCTTAGATGGGTTTTCTTCACTTTTCCCTCAGAACACCTGCTATTCCCATGATGCAATTGTTGATTCTTCTCCATTAAGCCAATGTCTCAGTCTGCTTCACCCCACCTGTATACATGGCTGTAGCTAAGAGGTTGGGAGATGCTCTAGCTTCTGATAAGGACATAGTGTCCCTTTGGATGTAACCACTGGGAACAGACTGCACTGTACCCATGGGAGGGGCAGTATGCTGTCACAAGTGCCCCAATCACAAGGCTCAGCTCTTACACATCCGGGATGGACATTGAAGGACACTAATGGTGAGTTGAGTGACTTGACTTGCTCAAGGTCACCAGCTGTTGAGTGGGGAGCTTGGTTGAAGCCAAGCCTGGTGATCCAAAGCCCACGTTTTTCCCACACTGGTCCCTGAAGTTAAAACACACTGATTTCCTTAACTTAGGAACCCAGCAATAGACTCAGCAAAGCCTCTGTGTCCTGGGAGTATTCCCATGGGTGGCTTGTTACATGTCAGGATCTGAGCTGCACAGACAGGCCAGGCTGTTCTTGGGACCTCAGATACTGTAGCTCCCAGATGATTCTGAAGATGACCTGGGTGACACTCATTTTGCTAATGTCATAGGACAACTGCAACAAGGTGACACAGAAGTGGCTTTTCACCAGAAAAATGTGTGGTTTTGTGGTGCAAGAGGCTATGCTCTGGGCTGAGATGCAGTAGAGTGGGTATTCTCCAGAATCCAACACTGAATTCTGCCTTGCCGTCTACTGCTATGGCAAGGCAAGTCACTCAACATCCCCCCCCCATTAGATTCCTCCAATGTCCATCCCAGATTCGTAAGAGCTGAGCCTTGTGACAGGGTACTGCCCTCCATGTAGGTACAGTGTTGGTACAGTTCCCAGTGGTTATATCCAAAGGGACACTATGTCCCTAGCTGAAGTTGGAGCATCTCCCAACCTCTTAGGTACAGCTATTTACACAGGTGGCCACAGTGGTTCTTAAGCAAGTCATCTCAGTCTCCCCTCAATATGTAGAGATCTTCCCATGTCTGTCTCTGTCCAAGTATCTCTCTTCTTTCCTGGACACTAATTGCTGAACTAGGGCTCACCTTCACCCACTATGACCTCAGGTAAGCACAATGCTACTTCTGTGCACTCCTAGCCCTTGATATCATCTTGATTTTATGGCCTTTGCACAGATCCTATGTCCACATTAGGTCACACTCACAGTTGCAAGAGTTGTACACTTCAATCTATACACAAAGGAAAATAATACCACAGAATGGCTTTTTGTGACTCCACCACCACCACTGACATATGGATGCACTGTTCCTGGAGCAGGGTACGCTTGATCTTATTGAATCTTCCCCATGACATTGCTGGGATAGAGAGTAAATTATCAAACACTGTCTCCAGTCACAGGAAATTCTTTTTTTTTTTTCTGAGTTAAGATATCAATTTTTTTTATTTTCTCTCAAATCATAATTAATTCACACAGGGGTTATAAACACAGAAAGGCAGGATGTGGGGAAGGGAATGACACTGGAGTGTGGATGTTCAGGGGGAATACAGATATCTTCAGAACCGGGTATCAGCTAGGTGAAGGTTCAGGGTACAATTCACTATAACTCTGCCTGTGACTCGCTTGTCCTTATCTAAGTTGGTATTGTCTGCCAAGGCTACCTATTTACAAGGTCTATGACTACTCAGGCTTATAAATTTCCACAAAAGCTGCCTGTTTACATTAGCTTATAGCCATCTGTTTCAGTGTTTTTCCACTGAGACCCAAGACTTGGTGTTAGTATACATGTATGACAGGCCTATTGCTGATTTTAGGCCTATGGCTGACTTTAGGCCTTCAGTGTGTAAGCAGGGCTGCCCCTGACATCTCCTCCCTTCTCTAAGTATAGAAGGGCTGTGGCAATTCTAATCTTACAAAGGCGGGGATAGAGGCCTGACCTCCAGTATTTGAAGGGGACCTTGTAATGGTTCCAGTCCCCCTGTCGTTGTCCAGTGAGGCATGAGGGCCATACCCGTCCCGATGTCTTTTTCACAGGAAATTCTTGAATTCAAGGTTAAGTAACATCAAGCCTGACTAGCAGGGGTAGAGTAGAAATTCCAGCCATACAGATGTGTGCTAAGTCTTGCTGACTCTCTAAGAATCCAATTTCAATCTCTCAATAGCAGAAGCAGACCACTGAGGCCAGGCCTAACTTAAGCAATTCAGATGTCTATGTGCCCATTTCTTCTATGGCTACCAAGTGCCTGGCATGCATTTAACAAAAACCAAAATGAAAAATAGTTCCTTCCCACAGCTATCCAATGAGATGGTCACAAACTCAGAGACAGCAGAGGAAGGGCTATGCGAGTTCAGGATGAGACAGAGCTGTGGGGTGGAGATGGTGGGGGATCTTCTCAGAGGATTCCATGTTTCAACAGGCCTAGAACCGGTGAGCTATAGAGGGGCGAAGGCAGAGGCATAGGGCTCCAACATGAGCATGACTGGAGCTGAAAACAGGGTAGAGTTGGAATGGGAACAACACAAGTGACAGCCAGGCCCATCCAGGCAGAGCTTTCTGTCCCCAAACCATCTACGGGGTCACAGAAAGGAGAATCCCCTCCTAGCAGAAAACTTGGGACCTGTCAGTTAAAACTGAGGTTTTCATCTCCTTAGGGGTACCCTGCTTTGGACTTTAAAACTGACAAGTGAGATTGCTGCTTTCTGGGTCCCAGTCCATCACCAAGCCAGGGGTGAGAGCACAGCCTCTGACCCAGGCACTTCCTCCAGAGTGAACTGGTCACATGTCTCTGCACATCTGTTAATGTCTCCATCTGCTCCCTCCCAACCTTGACGCTAACTGGATACACTAGATACACATGCCATCCAGACTGGGTCCAACATTCGTTTTCTCCCAGGTCTCTTTCTACCGTTAACTCTTTTTGCCCTAAGTAAGGGTATGTCAGTCAAGCATCTCCTGTGTCTTCTCCATCAGAAGGAAGATTGTCCCCGACATGAGATTGTTGCCTGTTAGGACCAACGTATTTTTACAACTGATTTAATCACACAGTAAAGCCAGCAAAGGAGCTGAGTGATAAGGTAACGACCCTTAGCTCTAGGTGTTCATGTGCTGCTGGGTAATTCCTCGGCCTTTGTCCCCACTTCCTTCATCAGTAAGATGAGCATGATGATAACACAAAGGTCACAGGTTCATTTGAGGGAAAAATGAGTCAATATAGTGAAACTACACAGAACCTACTCACGTAGACTTCTAGCCAGCTTCACTTAACATCAGAAGCCAGCACTGTAGGGGACAAGCATTCAGGCAAACTTGCAACGTACAGCACCCATGTAGCCCAAGAATCCATGCACATTCACCTTTCCCAAGATAAGAACCAGCATTTCAGACAAGCCTTTTCTTAACCTCAGCCCTGGACAACAGCTTCCAGGCCTGTGTCCTGACATCTTTCCCACACCTGTAAGCCATCTTCTACCCGCCAACCAGGGCTAACATGCTAAAGTGGACATTTTCCATACTTCTGATGTCCTCCAGTGGTTTCCTGAGATCCACCTGAGCCTGGCCACCAACCCCACCTTCATTCATACCTAGCATTCATTTGTCAGGCCTTTCAGCCCAGTGTATTGTAACCTGCGGATCTCTGTGGAGCATTCTTGTAAAGTGTGGAGTGTCTGATTCCCTGCCATTTCCTGTTATCGACCACTCACTGATTCATTGTCCTCGAGCTTCCTGAATAGGCAGATCATAGCAAGTGAGAAACCAGCTTGCAATTCTCCAGCAGCTTCCTTTGCTTGTATCGTAGAATCTGTGGTCCTCACCCCACACTTACAAAGCTGCTCTTGTAAAGACTGCCAGTCATCCCTGTGCTGTTGAGGCCCCAATCACCTGCCTCATCATCACTGACCTCTAAGAATTTCTAAAGGTTTTCATTCTGTCCATTTCCCTGCTGCTGTTAATATAAAAAACATGGACTACACATTTAGAGAGTAAAACGGCTTCATGGTTCTAAATACAGTACATCCAGTGACAACAGATTAATTCTGGGCATCATATAACAAGTATATGGAACATGTATTTACATGTGTATATACTAGTCTCTCTGTCTCCGAAATGAAAATTCTAGTACTAAATCATGAAGGCCTCAACTGAATGCCCTATCATCCCTCCCTCCCCCCCCCTCTCTTTCTCTCTGTGTGTACAAGTTTGTGTATCTGCACATGTGCATGTGAACAGATACCTTTGTGCACACACATGTCAAGGACAGATGTTGTCAATGTTGAATGTATTCCTCAGTCACTCTCCTCCTTATATTTTGAAATAGGGAGCCTCACTGAACCTGGAGCTCTTCTGTTTCGCTAGACTACCTGGGCAGTGTACTCCAGGGCTCCTCCACTTGTCACCACAGCACTGTCCCCAGCACTGGGGTTACAGATATATGTCACTGTCCTCGAAAATCACGTTACCAAACTGAGCCATCTTCCCAGCCCCCACATTACTGTCCTATCTGGAGAAAGCTCTGGAGATGGCTGTACTTAGTAAGCTTTTTGAGTCCTAGTGAGCAAAAGCAGAAGAGCAAATAGCAAGTAGCAGATAAATGATAACATCAAATCAGAAATCCAGCAGAGGTGCCAGGAAAGCATTGAAATAGTCACACTGGGGTTCCCAGTGGAGAGATTTCCAGGCAGTGTGTTCTTCCCATGTCTGGTGTTTCTGGATGATGTCAACACTGGACTGGTGCACTGAGTAACTGGGTGATTCCTTGATAACTTTTGTAACACACGGAGACCTGGGCAGAATGAAAGAGTATGAGTGGGGAAGCACCCACCCTCAACTGCCTGCTTGCCCTAGAGAACCTGCCTTCCCCAGCTCCAGGCTTCCACCGCTACTCCACTCATCCTCAGGCCTTTTAAGCTAAACCTAGAACTCACACTAACCCTGCTTTCCAGGCCTAAAGCCACAC